ACTCAGTTTTGTACTAGCATTGTGATACTTATTAAAGGTCCTACCATTATTATACTTTGTATAACTGACTGCACTGTCTTACACTGTAATTATGATAGTGCAATATCACTGCATGTGCATTTGCCATCACAATCTTCCAGGTAATTATAAAATTAATGTCCGGTTGTACAGTAAGTGATTTCGGTTCCCTGGAGTGTATAAACTTGAATAAAATTAATGACCTTGTAAAGGCCACATCGCGCTTGCAAGTCATATCCCACAAGATACACCAGTATTCACTTTAAGTGACAAAATCAATGTATAAATGTTGTGTTCGTATAACACATTTGTAATACAGATGTAAAAGTATAGCATAGCATGCAGAATTAATTGCATTCTGCCCATACTGTATTCACACCGACAAAAATTGATTCATTAGTTTTTTTATAACATGTTAAAAAGCAAAATAAAGTAAAATACTCAAGTCTTTATTACGAGAAAAAAAAGTATGGATTTCGGCATAAAAGTATGCAAAATTTTGAACAACACAGCCAAACGGTATTATATAAACGCTCTTGCGGTGAACCGTGTAATTACTGCATTACGGGATTTGTCCGCATCAACCATTTTGTTCAGAATTTCACGGCGAATCCAACTGAAAACCCAATGAATTCAAAAACAAATTTTCGGACACCAACTCTAGGAAGAGTTTTTTTTGGAAAGTTGCACAGGGGTCTCGCGACGGGCCTGTGTGTGCCAGAAGGTGTCGCTTACAAGTCAGTAAAAAATCCTTGCGCAGTCAGTGTCCGAAGCATAGAAGTATGCATTTTTGTTACTGCTTCCACTTGGCCGAGCAGGACTGTAATGTCATAATAATGTCACAAGAAAATATCTAAATCTGCATTAGCTAAATTTAAATGCGTAGCGCGAGCGAACCTGGATCTACACTCGCCGATACATTTTCCCTTAACATGCATCCAAGGAAACTAATCACTTCCTTAGCAGCGTCTCCACTGCTACTATGCAGGATAATAATAATCGCAAATTATGTAGTCAGAAATGGCAAAATATTGTACTACAACACTACGGCTACAACACATTTCCATATAAAAATTATAATAATGAGCGCATATATATAGTCGTATAATTATAATGGTGCACGCCAGGGATTCAAGAACAATCGTATTGTTGAACAAAAACAACCTAGCTTAATCACCGCCTGGTAGATGGAGACAGCATGATATTCGGTGCAGTAACGAACGATCTAACTTCCGAGTGAAATTAGTCGTTGCGATTAACGTCGTGCATTGGCCGGCCATGCGCTAGCTACACCTTTGGCTTTGGGCAGGAAATTACGAGACGGACCTGTACATCTTTTTTTCCATGCAGTTATCATTTGCCTGAAAATATCTAAACATTTGATTTTTGAAAAAAAAATCAATAATTCATCATTTTTGGTATAAGGCTTTATCTTCGCGCTAGCGCGATGCTGGCGCTTGGCCACTATGTTAAGGGAAGTGGGCCGGTACATGGTACCAAATTCGTGTACATACACGAAATCTTTCACTTTAGCGCACTCCCAAACCCATAAACGTCTTTGTTTCGGTTTATGACATTCTGTAGCCCAATGATTTGTATACACTGGGGTGAAAACCGTTTGTGCGCGCAACATCCGCTTCGGAAGTTATGGCCGTTAGAAAATTCCAAAAAGTTTAAATGCATTCCGGTGTACCAAAAGTCTCATTATGGACCGATCTCTTTCAGATTTTGCACGTAAATGCATATGCCCACGAAGAACATTTTTACACCGATCCACTGTTCTAGCGCTTTTTCTTAAAAATTTTAAAATTCATTTTAAAATTAGAAAAACATCATGGAAGTCTGGATCGGTTTAAAAACGATCTTCAAAGCTATGTGCATTTTACCGCAAAATTTGTAGGCGATCGGTCCATAATGAGACTTTTGGTACACCTGAATATACGAGAATATACCTCGTATTTGAATATACATGAATATACCTCGTATTTGAATATACCTCGTATTTGAATATACATGAATATACCTCGTATTTGAACTTTTTGGAATTTTCGAACAGTCATAACTCCCGAACCGGATGTTGCGCGCACAAACGGTTTTCACGCCAGTGTATACAAATCATTTGGCTACAGAATGTCAGAAACCGAAACAAAAACGTTCATGGGAGTGCGCGAAAATGAAAGTTTTCGTGCAAGTACACGAATTTGGCACCATGTACCACGGGCCACTTCCCTTAAGGGAAGTGGGCCGGTACATAGTACCAAATTCGTGTACATGCATAAAAACTTTCGCTTTCGCGCACCCCCAAACACATTTTTATTTCGATTTATGACGTTTTGTACCCAAAAGATTTGCATACACTGGCGTGAAAATCGTTTGTGCGCGCAACATCCGGTTCGGGAGTATGGCTGTTAAAAAATTCCAAAAAGTTTGAATGCGTTCAGGTGTACCAAAAGTCTCATTATGGACCGATCTCCCTCAAATTTTGCACATAAATGCACGTAACCATGAAGATCGTTTTTACCCCGATCCAGACTTCCATGATTTTTTTCCAATTTTAAAACGAATTTTAAAATTTTTGAAATTCATTTTAAAATTTAAAAAACATGCTAGAACAGTGGATCGGTGTAAAAACGTTCTTCGTGGTTATTTGCATTTACGTGCAAAATTTGAGAGAGATCGGTCCATAATGAGACTTTTGGTACACCTGAACGCATTTAAACTTTTTGAGATTTCCTGACAGCCATAACTCCCGAACCGGATGCTGCGCGCACAAACGGTTTTCCCGTCAGTGTATACAAATCTTCTGGCTACAGAATGTCATAAACCGAAACAAAAAAGTGTTTGGGAGTGCGCGGAAGTAAAAGTTTTCGTGCAAGTACCCGAATTTGGTGCCATGTACCGGGCCACTTCCCTTAATCGCAAGCTATTTACGCTCCACAGTTAATTCGTTCATTCCTTCATTTCTTCATGTACTGCACCGACTATTGTTGCTGTCCCCATCCACCAGTCGTTTGCGGAGACTTTTCGTTTATCAATACGATTGTTCCTGGTTCCCGGCGTGCATTACCCATGCGAAATGCATGAAACGCTTTAACACAGTGGCGTGGCGTGCCGTAGAACGCAAACTGGCGCACCTCGTCAATTTGAATTTGTTAAGAGAAAAGGAGAGTTTAAGAAAAAGGCGTGTACGCCACCGCGGGGCGGTTGAGCTGGTGCTGGCGTGTGCTGTGTACTTGAAAATATCTCCAGTATTTACTTTGCACAAGTACTTTAAATAAAAAACTTCATCGCATTGAAAATTTAACAAAATAACCCAAACAATCAACACAACTATGTTCGCCGCGCAATCAGCGAGTTATGCACCTAGTAATCCAAATACTGTAGAATTTGATCTTCTACCGTAGACCATAAGAACCGCGAAGCCACATCTTGTTAGTATAGTTATTTCTGGTTACATTGTTCCAGGAAAGTGCAGCAACAATGCTGGGCGACTGTCATGGCAACAACTGCGGCCACGTTTTGCTGCATTTTGTGTACTACCCGTATGGTCGTTTAAGTGAAACACTATAATGAGTGAATGGGCGATGGTCGTTTAAGTGAAACACCCGAAATAACATTTTCCAAAAACCGATTTTCGTTTGGATTTTTTTCTCATACGATTAAACAGAATGTACCCTTTACAGAGTACTTGAAATTTTTAGAAAAGCTTGAACCGTTTTCTTGCAAATGTCTCGTAAAGAAATCAGTGACGAAAGCGTTTTAGCCACGCCACGACTGCCACTGCACTACGCTTAAATATTTGCAGTCACCGCCATACAAGGGTGGCTGTACCATCACCGCATTTGCGGCTGTTAATTCAATTCAGGTAAATTTATGTTCAACGGAATTTTTTTTTCGTTCTTTGAAGGTGGTGTCTTCAAACTAAATTTATTTTGGTTTAAATAAACTTCTTACACGGCGATGGTACAGCCACCCATGTATGGCGGTGATTGCAAATATTTGAGCGTAGTGCAGTGGCAGTCGTGGCGTGGCTAAAACGCTTTCGTCACTGATTTCTTTACGAGACATTTGCAAGAAAACGGTTCAAGCTTTTCTAAAAATTTCAAGTACTCTGTAAAGGGTACATTCTGTTTAATCGTATGAGAAAAAAATCCAAACGAAAATCGGTTTTTGGAAAATGTTATTTCGGGTGTTTCACTTAAACGACCATCGCCCATTCACTTATCATAGTGTTTCACTTAAGCGACCATACGAGTAGTATGCCTGGCGGTTTTCTGCTCTTTGGCCAGCGGTATAACAGATTAGCCAGCGGAAGATGGCATATTCCGCTGGCAATACAGCATGTAACGCTTGTACCTGTCAATAGGACTAGAGTACATGATATTGTTAATAACACATAAAAATACTATGACATTGTAGTAAGTACTATACTTAGTGCGCTGTACAGACTCATCAGCTGTACTCTCTGCGGTACATACGAACGTTTACTATACCGAAATAACAACCTCGAAATTATAACTTCATACGAATCATGCACCACAGTATTATTACCACACTAATAAGAATAACATAATACTAAACAGCGCACTGGTAGCGGTGGGTATCCCCATGGATACGCCTACTATCAGTTACGTGAAATGCTTGTACAGTTACAATAGATGTTGTTACGGTCTTTACATAATGTACAGTCAAGAATTTATGGATTGCGTAATAATAATTTAAACTATTTCAAAGTAAATTAAATTTTCATATCTGATTATTATATGTGTTTATTAAGGATTATTGCCAGAAGATTATGTACAGCATATTCTTTTAGTTCTTGTTGATAGCTATATAAGTTCTTGAAGACGTTTTCAGCTGGACAAGCAAACAGAGCAACGGCAGTGAAGCTCCGGCGAAAAATGCCGTGCAGATAGTAATGCACTTTGATATCACGCAAGTGGTAAGTACTTACTCAGGTACTTAATTAAACGACAACCAAACGTACTAATGCATCGTACAGAAAACTAGGCATGCTGTGGCGTATGTACGTATGTATAGTACTTTGCAGTTAAAAAATTACAAAAACATTGACATTAATCGATGCATTTCGGGGTGGTGTGTGATTTAGCGTGGCTGCAGCTGAGCGTGTTGAGCGTGTGCCTGGGATGCCTGCCGCCGCCGCTTTCCCTTCCACGGCCGCAGCCCAGCGAGCCGCCGGCGTGCAGCCGTAAGTGGCCGTGATTTGCATGGAGAGGGTACTCCTATTATTAACCTCATTTTCAGTGGAGGACATGATCACAGACGCCATGCGGACGAGACAGGACGACCGCCTGACTCTGCCGCTGGCACCGGATGAGCGCCTCCAGCAGGGGGAACTGCGGCGCCCCCGCCTGGGCGAGGACGCGGCGTTCAGCTGCGAGGCGCCGCCCGGGGGCGATTGGCGCTCGCTGACCTGGCTGCACCGCGGACGCACCGTCTTCGAAGGAGGCCACGCCCCGCCGGAGGACCCTGCGCAGCGCTACAATGTCAGCCGCGTGGGTGACCGCCGCCTGCAGCTGGTGGTCTTCAACGTCACCGCCTACTCGGGCGGGCCGCTCCTCTGCGTGGATGCCACGCCCACCCCGCGCTACACCGGCCAGCCACGCTTTATCATTCTGCGCCGCTTCACGCTCCTCCCACAGATTACCCGCGCCAGCGAGGTCTTCGAGCCGCTGCTGCCGACGCCCCCCGTGACCAGCGTGGGCGTCCCCATCATCATCCCCTGCCGCGTCCGCTTGCCGATCCCGGAAGCCATTCTGCGCAACCAAGAGAACCACTATTTCTGGCGCTACAAGGGCCGCATCCTCCGCCCGCTCACGGAGCTGCCGTACGGCGCGCTGCCTCCTTCCGAAGAGGTCTTGAGGGGAATTTTTTTTAACCGGAAACCAACCATATCCCCCAATCTTCCCGGACAGTTTCTGGACTATACACTGGAACTGACCGATCGGCAAGCCAGCGCTGGCGCCGAGCTGCAGTGCTTCTTCCGGCCGCATGAAGGCGCCCATGAGTGGGTCTTCCAGACCACTACAATCACTGTTCTCAGCGAATAATTACGCTAACATATAAAGTTAGTACATCGATTCTATCAAGCCTGCTGTCGGCACAAATTATTTTAATTTAAACATGGAAAAAAACATCTGTATTGTCAGTCGTTCTGTGTTGATTTTGCGTTGGCTGAATGTAAACGGCGGCACTAATTTGGAAACATGTGAGACGACATTATTTTCACGTATTGGTTAAGTTCTGTGCCCACGGGTCCGCGAAACAGCGCAATGATTAATCAGACAAGACTGCAGCTAATGCAAGTTGTGTTTTAAGTTGCGTACGTAAATTACGTACGCCACCTATTTGGGGTTACTGATCTCATTCTTTACCAAAGAAACTTTTGGACTCGCCTTTGTAGTATAAAAAACGCTCTGAAAGATGAGCTTAGGTAATTTTTGATAATTATTTTGGAAATTCGCTAGCCACTTCGCGTTAAGATAGTCCTGTTTGTGGGCAGCAGATTGGCGGTGAACTGCTCGGGAATGGTCAAGCTGCCGCAAGAAATTTCTAAGTTGGATGTCGAACACGGATTTTCTGTTAAAACTGACTGTTTTGTCAGCAGCAGACAAACCGACAACAGCAATATTTTTCCAAAGCCGCCCATGGTGGATGCAGTTCGCTTGGTGTTAGAATCTACAAAGCCTTATTAAGAGTTACAAGGTGGGTTAAAATCCTAGCCTAATGGTTTGTCTACAAGAAAAGAAATTTGCTGTGAAATTCGTGTTTGGCGCCTTTGAAAATTTTTGTATGAAAGGTATTGCTGAATTTTAAAACTTATCAATTTTTCCGCTAAGCAGGGTTATTAGCCGTGATTTGCTTAACCATTTCCAGTTTATTCTTATATAATATTTACAGTGTAAATTGCTTGTTACTCGAGGATGGAGATTTCAATCACCAGAATTTAAGTTGTTCAGCGGTTGGTTTAGCCTCCAGTCGCAGGCGGACAGCCATTATTACTAACGTACTGCAGATTTGTCTTCATATGCACTAACCTAGGGATGCGGGATTTCTGGTTAAGAAATTGAATAATCATTATGGTAATATGGTGACATGCAAATCGACCGGATCACAGTGGAGAAAATTGCAAAAATGTGTGCCGTTTTCTTGCGATTAGTACAAAAATCAATCCCAAAAGAATGATTGGAAATTATTGCATGAGTGACATATTTCACAAACATTTCTACTTTTAATGACCAACAGCAGTGTCTTGAGAAGACAATAAAAGTTGCTGCAGTGTAGCCTGCCAATGGTCATGCAATCATGCATAAAGGTAAATGCGCGTTTTCCTTGATACAACGTAACACATACCGGAAAGTTCCTTCAGGTTTTGTGTACGGTTATTTTTACTGGAACTTGTATTTTTATGGATAATGTCTTAACCCTTTTTTGTATCCGCTCGAGATTATTGTCAGTGTACGTTGCCTACCACCACTAATACTGAACGAACTCTTTATGTCTTACCGACTCTTACGACTTTACATAGAAGTATACCACTATCAGGATAGATCCGAGGAAGAGAATAATTGTATCAAGGAAATGACTAACATATTCGGAAATTTCTGTCCCGCAAGAACGTAATTGCACGAGTGCATATTATTTACAGAGCAGTCCATTCTTATTTCTTGAATTTATTGCCAATTTTGTTTGCCATACTGCTGGCAAAGTTTCTGCCAGCTATCTAGCAGCAACGTAGCTGAAGTAGACAACTGGCAAAACTTTGCCAGCAGTATGGCAAACAAAATTGGCAATAAATTCAAGAAATAAGAATGGGCTGCTCTGTAAATAGCAAGTATGCTCTCATTGCACCGGGAAAAGATAAGCACTCAGCATAATAATAATAAGGAATTTATTGTCTTCGTGCGAGGGTCGTGCCCTTTTACAGCAGTGGACAGTGTAGCAATTTTGCGTATAAGAACAAACGTGATGGAAAGTGATACAAAAATGCAAACAACAGTGGAAAACAAAAAAAAATGACAAAAACGTTGGTGTTGGACTGAGTGCAGTGATATGAATGCAGTGAGTGCACAAGCCAACGTTGTTACGTTTTTGCCGGCTGAGTCATTCACTATCAAGTCAGTGTAACATGGGTGTGTTGACTCAACTCTTATTAAACTGTAACCAATGCTGCTTGCACTAACAATTCATGCGTCCTGCAACCATACATGATACAACCATCACAGTTCTTGCGGCATACAGCAACGCATTGCGTGTCTTAGCTGATTTCTTCGGGCGCAAAGCGTAATTTAGGCGAATCTTTATCATAGCAACCTCATTACCTAATCTTTTCTAATCTTAAAGCTTCTGCCGAGTAGCAATCTGTACGAAGCTTACTAACGCCTCGGGAAACTATAACAAATTTATTCCAAAATTTGGTGACGTGATGGCTGACTGCCTCCACAACGAACATCTGTGTACCAACCAGAGCGTCCCTTTACAGAATGCCTTTTCTGCCCCAGCGGAAACGGATTACGCTCATTTCGGCAACACGATCAACAGTTTGCGTGCTGCCGGAACGCTGTGTGATGTTGTGGTAAAAGGTATGGAGGTTTCAGCCCGCGGAATCCCGTGTCATCGGATCATTCTGTGCGCACACAGTTCATACTTCCGTGCCATGTTCACCATCGGATTGAAAGAGTGCCATGAGGAGACAGTTCAGCTGCGGAATATATCCAGCAAAATCCTGCAAATGTAAGTACTTTTCGTTATAACTTATATAATACTCATATATTATGTCTTATATAATACTCGTATATATATATCTCTAAACCGGCATTAATCTGCAGGGCGATTGATTACATTTACTCGTCCCCCATCATCATCGATGACGCCAATATTCAGGAACTCCTTGCCGCTGCAGTTTTCTTGGATATTCATTCCTTAGCCAATAGGTGCTGGGAGTGCTTGGCCCACCGACTAGATGAGACGAATTGTCTGTTTGTTTACTGCTTACCTCATGCTCAGACGAACAGACCTTACCTGATGGAACGAGCAAAGGGTTTGGTTTTTCGACATTTTAACGACATCTCCCATAGCCAAGCGTTTTTGGAGCTCAGCCTAGAAAAGGTAAAATTATGTAACATATGCATTTCACGCTATTTTTGTGGCTAACGGGCACTGCGCTGACCGTCACAAGATCGATTGCTAACAATAAATATGTAAATAAAAAAATCTAAGCAGCCTAGGAAAGTAAGATCTTAAATAATAATATTATAAGAAGCCTAAAAGAGATTAGGAAACCAGAAAGTTAAGAAGCTTCAGCAAGATTCTAGCTCGACTTGATGACGGTCGACGACGGACGAAATGGCTGGTCTATTTGCCACAATAATTATGGGCGTTACCGAATATTTCATTATGTTGATTATTATTCGTAAATTCTGTTTCCTCTTTTCACATCTCGAACACAGATAATCGAGATCATCAGTTCGGATGATTTATGCGTGGAGCAAGAGAACGAAGTTTTGCATGCTGTCACCCGCTGGTTACACCATGACCTGGACAATCGTCGGCCGCAATTTCACGAAGTTCTGCAGTTTGTTCGGCAGCCATTTTTGACGCACACGTGTCTTCAGTCCTATAACCTTCTGAAAAAATACGCAAATGAAGACAAAATACTCGGAAAGCCTACGCTTGATCTGGATCAGATGGACGAATCTTTACCTGGCACGACAGAAGCGCATTCTTCGCAGAATCATTCAAGAAAGCTGTACGGTAAGGTCATCTAATTACACTTCGGCTTTCTCGCGTTTTGCCCCTTTGAGTTTGTAAACGAGGCATTTGCGAAATATGAATTCGCAGTGAAGAAAGTATCAGCACACAACAGCCAGTATTCTAGTTTCTCGATGTTTCCCAGGTTCAAATACAGTCGTCATTTGTGCTGGAGGCTGCGCTCGTGGCGAAAATGCCCTGAACTGTGTAGAGTGTCTGAATCCCACGAACCTGTCGTGGTCACAGTGGAAGCCTCTGCCTAACGAAGTCTACAGTCCCGGCCTTGTGAATTTGGATGACGGAGCATTACTCGCATGCGGCGGTTATGATCCTACTTTGGAGAATCCCATAAACAACGCTTACCTATACGATACCAGTCTCCATAATTGGAAGGAAATCGCCGGAATGCAGACAGCGCGGGCTTACCACGGTGTCGCATTCCTCAATGGCTTTGTTTATGCTATCGGCGGGAACAAGAAAGGCTCGTACTGGCAGCACCAGCTGAGCAGCGTCGAGCGCTACGATCCTTACATCAATCAATGGGAAACCATGGCTAGTTTACCAATGCCACTGTCCTGGTTGGCCGCTGTGGCTCATAAAGGTCGTATCTACACTTTTGGAGGTCTGACAAAATCGGGGTCTGCGGTGAATGGAGTATTCTGCTATAATCCCGTTAGTAATTCCTGGAGTAAAGTGGCGGCTATGCCCACCGCGCGTTTTGGTGTGTCGGCTTGTGTCGGGCCGGATGGGCTTCTTTATGTCATCGGTAAGTGTGTTTCCGCGTAGAATGTAGGACTAAAAATACTGGAAACTGGGCAGCCGGTCCGTGGTTCACAAATGTAATAATAAAATCAAGAAACAGCGTGTAAGAGAAACACACCCAGTGCTCATAAATTTGCCAGCACTGGGGTGGAATAGCGAAGGGCTTGTTTGCCTACAGATAGTATGCAATAAACCGAAGTGTTGTACTTGTTAGGTTTACGTTGTAATTAAATGCTTCTAAAGTGAAATTTATTCCAGGTGGTCATCATGGGGATTTTGGGGAACACGAATTCGGTTGTGTCGAAGCATACGACGTCGGTGCCGATCGATGGTTTAGTAAAAGTATGGCCGCTAGATGCGCATAGCGCTGTGTATTATTAGCGCATGAGCATAGTGCAGCTGTAGGATTGTAAAGAACAAATTTGTGCTGTAGAATTTTAGCGCTGGTCTTTCCGCTGAGCTAGTAGCATTTTGTCTTTTTTAGACAGCATGAACAAGGAGCGCTTCAATGGAAGGAGTGTATGTGTGAAGGATTATATTTACGCTCTGGGAGGATGTATCGGCAGCGATTACGGGGATTCTGTTGAAGTGTATGATCATGTGACAGATTCGTGGACGGTACTAAAAGCACAATTGCCGAGCGGGAGAAATTCCTTTGGATGCGTAACTATGCGCGTTAGGAAGCCAGTACGAAATCGGGATCCTATTTTCGGGTAATTTTCCTTATCCAGTACCTGTATTTTCAGGTGTGTGATATGGAAAACGCAAACAAAATAAACGAGGTGGGGGGCTCTGTCTTCCGACTACTTAAGAAACTTACCAGAAATTCCAACCAAGGAATGTAGGATTGTGTCATCCCCGAGGTCTACTTCTCTAAAAGCAGCTGTAACACTATTCTAGAATATGTTTCCAGGAAAGACAAATCTAAATCGATCTTTGAGACCAATTTTTTATAGTGGTCATTATCTCGTTACCAAAATTTTGTTTGTTTTTCCAATTTCCCCAGTTTAATTTATGAGAAAAGTGTTATTAAAAACAGCATTTTAAAAAAGCAGTGTTCACAAAACAATTTAGCTGAAAATCAAACGAGAGGTTTTAATGTAAAACAGCGACCAGTGACCATAAAGCTCTTCGTACACACACACTGCCGAAAAAAATGCAAATAAACTGTTGCATAAAGCATAAAGAATTATAATAATTTTAAAGGATATTCAAGGCTTCATATTACGCTGGCACACACCATACGCGGACGCCATTTGTTGTGGTTCCAACGTTTTCCAACATCCTTGGCACTGGAAATTCCTCTCCGATGTTGTATCATTAGAGGCTGCGCACGGTGATTGTTTCTCGTGACCACACGTAATCTTTACGAAATGCGAGTTTTCATGTGCCAGCCGCAGTAGCGGTTGCAGTGCTTTGCTGGTACAGAGATCACCGGTTAACAGCAAAGGATTGCCTCCCAAATCCACTGTGACGTTTGTGGAATGCTGTAGGACATTTATTAAATCGTCTGGGATCGATGGGATTTTGTTTCCCGAAAGATTGATGTAGATTAAATGGGAAATATGTAGCGGTGAGGAAGCTGCGAGGGCGGTGATGGCGTTTTCGGGGGCGTCTAAAACCTAGAAAATAGTTCAAGGTAATTAGAAAAAATTTATGATGATTCAACTCAGTTTCTTTCCACATTTAGTAGCCAGTACTTCTTATCTAAGCAAGGTAATTAATTTCAAATCTGCGCTCCAAATTTGTGAGATTTTCTTACAGTATCTATAAAGCAAAATCGCACGTTTTTGCCTTCTGCTTAAAGTTCTCGAGTAACGCGTACGCTGCTCCACGGCAGACATGAGACTGCGATTAAGCAAATCCATCGGCTACAGTATTTATGATGTACAAATTTTATCACAGATTTTTATTTTGTTAAATGGTTTATGGGAAATTTTATAAAGGTGTATGTAGTACAATTGCTTAATAAATTCGCTGTCAAAGTACAGTTGTATAGAAATTAGTAAATGTTGACGGCCATAGCTATATCCATGGCGGTACTAAAGAGAAGGCGTACGCGCGCCGTTTGTGACGTCACAGTAAGGCAAGCAGCCCGCTAGCGCAGTGCTTTAAGGCTCGTAGGCTCCATAGACTGCTATGGTGAACGCATTTCACTTCCCGTGCTGTGAGATCACCGAGTTATAGCTCAAAAGAAAGAGAAAAACATTTCAAGTTTTATAATGCAAACGTCTTCAGTATTAAAAGCTAAGTGAGATTTTTAGAACGTTTCGAAAGTAAGCCGAGTTAGCGTACAAAGTCGATGCAACGGTCGGTCCAGACCGCGCGACCGTTGTGTGTTAATTGCATACATTTTGAAACCTTTTTACAACATGTAATTAAGCGACTTGAATTGCACACATATTATACGTTGAAAATCTTAAAATTTTTTTCTCTTTCTTTCAAGCTATAGCCCGTTCATTTTAAACTTAAAATCGCTTAACATGGCAACCAATGGAGCCTACGAGCCATAAAGCATTGTGCGGATGGCTGGCTTGCCTTCTCATGACGTAGCACCGGAAGTAGGCGTGTCGCGCTAATGCCTTCTGTTTAGTACTGCCATGCTATATCCTATCCTCACTGATCGTTTACCCTGACTTACCTGTAAAGCAGCCGGCAGAGATGACAAGTCAAATTCTCTCAATCGGTTTCCATGTAACATCAGCTCCATTAAAACCGGCGCGCCACTAAAAGTTCCCGGTTGAATTTGCTCCAGTCCCGCATCGTGTATCAACAAGGCCGTCAGGTGGTCGAACCCATTGAACATACCGGCATCCAGTGATAGCAACCGTCCACCAATAAAATTCATGTTTTTAATAGTGCTTCGTACATTGGTCAGCCAGGATGTGATATCCCCAGTGCTGTTAAATTCAAAATTAAGGAAACTAACGCCCTGCAGATCAGGCCATGCCGGCAAGGGTGTGGCTTTCTTCAGAAACGAAGGAGTGGTCCAATCACCCATGCTCAGGGTGGTGATATTCATAGGGAACAGGCTGGCGTCGAACTGATCCGGGATATTTAAACTGCCACAGATCAATACTTGTGGATCCGTTTCAGCGCATGGATGTGTCGTTGTAGCTGAAAGCGTGGTAGTATGTATTAGAACAAGCTGTAGCAGCATTTTCCAAGACTTTTCCATGATGTGTCTTAATGTATCAAAATACACAACTTCGTAAACGTTTTTCATATAGAATGGTTAGAGCATCAGACGAAGAACGCAGCGAGAAACTAAGAGTGAGCGTTTGCAAGCAGTCTTATTCAATCTGCAACGAACGCTAGCTGGCGGCAGTAGCGTAATGGATTTGAGCGGATGCATCGGATACAAAGCCGCTTTTTTAGCGAAAATGTTTCAGTTTTCAGCCGGTTACACGATGTGCTTGTATGAATCAACAACAGCCTCCGGGCAGACGTACGCCATGTAATTGCATTCCGCGCGATACAATGAAGTATGATACATTGTTCAGCTTCAAATTGAAATAATATTCTTCATTCACCATCACAGGTGACGGAATATAGCAGTACAGTACGTAAAGTGACGGTTTTACTCGTACATTCTACTTTCTCGATCTTTCTCTTTTGTGTTCGGATTTACTTTTGGTTGTGTCTACACGGATGCGCCGTGTCTATATAAGTCCATGAGTAGCAGTACTTTGGATGAGTTCTCTCATTACGAGTTTTGGCAGTGATCGGAGTTTCTAATTAAAATATCGTCGGAGATGCAGTCTCGCTTCGCGTAGATTCGTAGACTTAGCTATGCCACATTGAGATATTAGCTCATTCTCTGTCGTTGAGTTAGGTCGGTAGGATAGATTATTACGGTAATTATTCCTATCGTACTGATCTCTCCGTCATGGCGCCCACCGATGTTCGAACCTAACCGATGGCCAGCTAAATAAACTGTGACTGAAATTGTGATTGAAATGGTGAATGTCAGCTTCTAGAGAGTGCTCAGTCCGGGTACAACTGTACTGACTGGACGGATGTCCGGGCAGCTGGTCTGCCGTCTGGACGCCTAAAACGTTAGTAGTCCGGGTACTGGCGACGCGTTAGTAAGGGGAAACCCTGCTGATCCGTGCCTGCGACCCACGACGAAAACCTGTAATTGTTCGGGGGCTTTGCTCTGTCTGGACGCTGGGCAGTTTGACCTGCCAGCAGGGCGATGCAGGGATAACCTGTATATCGGCCCACGAGCACTGAATCGAAAATCGAAAGTGAAATGAAAATGAATATGAATTGAAGAATGGAAATGACGAAATGTGAAATGATGAATGGTATTTATTAGCGCAAGCCAGTTTCACTCACACAGAATATAAAGAGAACAGAAATAATTACAGTAAAAATATTTCCCTAAATTTCTCGGCTCCATCCATGGTTCTGAGTACGGAAGCAGCGTTGCCTCTTTGGATTTCAATCGACAAACGCTGACGGAGAAATTCGAGTGAGCGAAGCTCGCCAGTATGCTGCTGTAATCGTTTGCCAATTTCCTTCACTAAAAGTGATGCCGACTTTCCCCAGGGACCAAAAGTCTCGAATGCAAGAGGCGCAAAGATGTATCGGCCCTCCAGATAAGCATACAACTTGGCTTTTTTATCTTCCGCCTGCGCTGCTGCGGATCCGGCGGCAGCCGAAGTAGACTTTATATGGGACAAGGCGACAGTATCCACGCAGGTCACGTCCCATGCCAAGCACATGCCACGTTTCCAGGCAAACGTAGTGCATCCGTCTGGGCGGCGACCGGACGTATGGGACGTACCACGCGGTTCCAGTTTTGCTGGGACGCCCGCTGAAACCAACGATCGGCACACAATGCTGTTAAGTCCACCGTGTCTAGGATGACGTCCAGCGGAAAATGAGCATGACAGTCCGTGGTGGCCATATACATCTACGGGCTTGTGACATTTCGCGCATGGATGTGCTTCGCAAATGACAGCGCCTAACCTGAGCCCAACTGATATCTTCAGGGTGTCGTCGTCCAGGAGGTTGCCGATGTGAGCTGAAGGCAAAGCATTCAACCAAATGCCAGCTTCCGGTTTTGATTGTGCGAGGAGTCTGGCCCTGTTTATTTCATCGTCATGAAAGATCTCAAGCAATGTGGACAGCGATGCATTGCATAACGGTAAATCCCACGTTCGTTGTGAATTCCTGAAAGAGGCCTCCGGGAGTTCCGTCTGCCGGGATTTAGCTTTCCACGACTCCTGTGCGCTTTCAGCGTCCACTGCCGGGTGATGAGGAAGCAGTTGCGGCATTAGTTCGGATACGGAATGAATCGAAGCCAAATAGGCTGGGAGGGATAATTCTTCCGCCCGACGGATGCCGATACCGATGAATTGAATGATGAATTGAAGCTAAAGCAGGTACTCGTAGCTTCTGCAGGGCACGAGTTTCCTAGAATTCTAAAGCGTAGCGGTTACGTAACCGACTGTGAGTAGACCGAGGGTCGAAAGCAGTTTCCTTGAGCTAAAGTTTTTTGTTTGCCCGAGCAGTGCCTGAGCATTCAAAGTGTCGACACAAATCTTGAGCTATAGTTTTGTATGCGAGAGCGAAAAGCGAGAGCATACAGGTGCACCATATCGTAGCGTAGCCATACAGCCAGAGCAATTGCGAGCGCTGTGAGCGGTGAGAGAACACCGGAGATCATAATCTCAAACTGAAAATCCAAAGTATCCGGGTGAGAACAAAAGGGTCTACCTGGAAGCCAGTGTAACAAACACTGAAAACAAAAGCGTAGCTAAAGTTTCCGCGTAGAACAAAAGCCTACCTACACTGCGAATAAAGCCGTAGCTGAAGTATCCGGGTGAGAACGATAGTTCCTCGGAAAGTCAGTGCAATGGACACGGAAAGTGTAGCGTCAACTGCATACGATAATGCAGCACAGCAAAATGAAAACGCCGTACAATTTGGCGGCATTGCTGATAATGAAGAATTGTGGAACGACATGCACCCGTTGCAGTCGGAACTGATTGAATCGTCGCTTGACCAGAATAGGTTTGAAGCAGCAATTGAAAATTGGGATGTAAGAATTGATAACGAAATGAATGTGAGTGAACTGAAAGAGATTGCTTGGGCATCTCTTTATACCGCGCTTGCACTTCAGAAGAAGTACATCAATGCTAATCGCATATGTCATGCGTTAAACAGCCGTAATACGAGTATGGAGATTGAAAACAGTGCTTTGACTGCTGAACTGGTTAAACTGCGCAAACAAACTGGAAGAATTGAAAGTGAACGCCGTGTTGAAAAAACACGAGCTGATGAACTGATGGAGCGTCAGTTAGCTTTGATGTTAAAAATGGAAGAAATGCAGCGAATGCCTAAAGTCAGTGACAAAATACAGTATCCGCAAGTGTACAAAGGTACACAAGAAAGCGGTAAAGTAGAACGTTTCATAATGGACTGTGAACGATGCAAAGATTTGAATGGCTGGACAGAGAAACAATTGATTGAAAAAGGACTGTCATACGCACTGAAAGGTGACGCGTATTTGTGGTATGTCGAAAACAGAAAATTAGATCCAGATAAAAACTGGAAATTATGGAAAGAATAAATGATGTAGCGATTTTTTTTTCGTTACGGTAAGTACTATCATCACCTTATACGGTTACAGGTTATACAGAAATGGAGATCTTTGACTAAATAAACGACAATGTCAAATAAACCTTCCTGCTGCTGGGCAGCGTTGCGGCTTTTCACGTTGAACGGCTAGTTTTGCTACCACCATGGTCCATGGAGGTTTACGACCATGGATATCGTAGTGGATAGCGTAGATTGCATGGCTGCGCATAACTTGACATAATTATGTCCATATCTTTATGTTCATTTTTATGCCTGAGTGTTTGTGAGCTACGGTCAAGTTGGAGTGAGAGGAAGGTGGGACTCATCTGGCCTGCAAGATCGGATGTGTAATTTGCAGTGGTTTGTTACCCGTGTTTTTCAAGCTTTCAGGTGTTTACGAGTATGAGTATGTGTGTTAGAAAACGGCACAGTGGTCGGGAGTGCAGCTGCCAAGGTGAATCTGTCAAGGTGTCGTGAATATGACGTCGTTATGTCGTGAATCTGACATCGTGAATCTACACTGTATTTCCCTTAGTAAACGTCCGGCGGTAGACAGTTGGTTAATTTAACTTAATTGTATCCTTTTTAACATTTTTAACGTAATCAGAGTAGAAGACCCTGTGCCCACGACAGCCGCCCATACCACCGCCTACCTGGTTGGCTCAAGCTCAAGCACAAATATCTTGATCTTCGCCAACAGCGGCGAGAGCTATTTACTCCGCTCCAATACCGCTATTTTCCCAGAGGTTTTCCTTTTATGAATACTTCTACACTTTGTAAAACAGACTGTATCACTCTGTCTTTGCGTAGTATTCTGTAGTGTATAGCAGTAGCAAGTAATGATTGCAAAATATCGATATTTACAGCGGCGAGAGCTATTTACTCCGCTCCAATACGCTATTTTCCCAGAGGTTTTCCTTTTATGAATACTTCTACACTTTGTAAAGCAGACTGTATCACTCTGTCTTTGCGTAGTATTCTGTAGTGTATAGCAGTAGCAAGTAATGATTGCAAAATATCGACAAAATATCGCCAGAAATATCGGCTACCGATCACTTCGGCCGTTTTCATTTCGGCCGCGCTCATTTCGGCCAAGTTTTTCGGCCGCCACTCACTTCGGCCGCCACTCACTTCGGCCGCCACTCACTTCGGCCCCCATTCACTTCGGCCGTCATTCATTTCGGGGCAGACTGTATCACTCTGTCTTTGCGTAGTATTCTGTAGTGTATAGCAGTAGCAAGTAATGATTGCAAAATATCGACAAAATATCGCCAAAAATATCGGCTACCGATCACTTCGGCCGTTTTCATTTCGGCCGCGCTCATTTCGGCCAAGTTTTTCGGCCGCCACTCACTTCGGCCGCCACTCACTTCGGCCGCCACTCACTTCGGCCCCCATTCACTTCGGCGGTCATTCATTTCGGGGCCACAGAACATTTTAGCGGAAATTGGGTTTTCCAAAACTTTTAATATGCACCGTGTAACTACAGAGCAGCTAAGTCCTTACGCGCAAAAAGTTGATCGGTTTCTATTTAATTTTGCACACACAATTTGCTTGAGCAGTTTTTGAAGTGTAACAGTCACCATAATGTCTCATATTCCCGATTGTTCTGATTAACACCTTAACCTAATGTGAGACGAGGCTCACTAGCGTTCACGCCCGTGGCGCTAGGCGCTACGCCTTAGGATTTCGTGTCTGTGTTGTGTCTCGCTCTGATTGGCTAGTGGGCGCGGCATAGCACGTGCTGCACAGTGATGCACACTGTGGAATTGGCTCTACGTTTTACGATCGAGCTGCGCCGATCACTTGTTGATTTCTGGTCTCCAGACTTTCAATATTATTAAAAGTCAGCGATTACGGTGCGACGTTTTGTGTTTCCGCATAGCTCGCGATCCAGATCGTATCGCTCACTCCACAGGATAGATCCCGTTTCTGTCTCTGTCTCTGGATCCATTCTGGATCTAGCTTTAGATGGTAGCAGAGCCGACAGCGGTTCTCTGATTTGATTTGATTTGTGTCAGGCAAAGTTGGCCTTTTATCCGACGCGATACCCGTGACCAGGAAGGCACAGGTCTGTTACACAGCAAAGCGCACACCACAAGCGGTGCAAATTCCTAATCTGACGCGGATTTCCAGCTTCGGTTTTCGGTACGGTATCTTCAGCGAAGAACCGTGCTGTTTCCTTAGCTGTGCAAGAGTTCAAGAGTTTCAGTCGTCAGTGTTCCTCGGTGTAGAGTCTTCAGCGAAGACCTACACTGGTGTCACTGATACTCGGCAAGGCTTCAGCGAAGCCTAAGCCGTGGGCCACAAGAGGCGAAGCGCCGAAAGGGGCGCACGGGGAAAAGACAGATCAGACTCCACCAAACTGGTCGTAGAGCACCACTACTGTTGCTACGGCACAGCCGGCACAGTAACAGACTAATAGCGCGAGGCACGCTACGGAACAGCGGCGACGCGGGAACGGATTTGGAGAAGAATTGGATCATCTGGATCATTTTTCCCGTGGAACGGACGGACGTGGAACGGACGGACGGTTAACAGGTAGAAAAACCGTTATTAATTACGGGATTGGCTAGTTGATAAATTTGGCAATCTCTATTGGTTCGTACTGAGCTGAGCGTAGACGTAGGCGGAGTTTTGCACACGGCGCGCATGTCTGGCCGTTGACCGTGACGTCAGGCTAATATAAAATTTAAATGGTTTAACGTGATTGGTCGGTTATCTGAGCTGTGATTGGCTGAAATTTGAACTGAATAATTTGAGCTAGCGGACCAATAGGAACGGAGTAAACAACGTAAATGGGGATTTTCCGTTGAACTTTAACTGCAAAGAGGCAAATTGAGATGAGACGAGATATTTGAAAAGAAAAGTGACCTTTAACTGAAATTGAGCTGGAAAGTGACCTTTAACTGAAATTGAGCTGGAAAGTGACCTTTAGCTGAAATTGAGTTGGAAAGTGACCTTTGATTTGAATTGAGCTGGAAAGTGACCTTTAACTGAAATTGAGCTGGAAAGTGACCTTTAGCTGAAATTGAGTTGGAAAGTGACCTTTGATTTGAATTGAGCTGGAAAGTGACCTTTAACTGAAATTGAGCTGGAAAGTGACCTTTAACTGAAATTGAGTTGGAAAGTGACCTTTTGAGTTCAGACGATTGGGAAAGTGACCTTTACCAAAAAGTTGGAAGTGATTAGTGACCTTTAGGATCTGAAATTGGCAAAACGTGACCTTTAACGAAGTCGAATAGTATAGCGATATCAGCGGCTGTAGGATTTTGTCTGTAAACGTGTTCCGAACTGTAAAAGCGGTTTCGAAGTTTTGTCGTAAAAAGTGACCTTTAGGGCAAATCTCTCGAACTTTTTATCGAAAAAGTGACCTTTAAACGGAACTTAGCCGAAATCTTTCAATCGAAAAGTGACCTTTAACCAGGACTTTGAAAAATCTCGAAGTACGGAGTGACCTTTAGGACAATTGATTAAACCATACAATAACGTGTGTGTGAGAACAATTGGCAGGGGCGTCAAAGTTATCCGATCAAAATGGACAAAGACAAGGAACAACCCACTTCTACCGGCAGCCAGGGAAGCACAAGCTCCCGCAGCTCACAGCAAGGCGCACCAAACCCGTACAAAAAGGATTTGCACACATACTTGCGTCCAGTTGGACATGAGCGGAATACTCGAGCGCCTAAGGCATTCGAGAAGAAGGAATCGCGGGGCTCTGATAGCACTTATCAGAAGGCGCTCGAAGCGGTCGCAAATCAGGAAAGCTCCAGTGACGACCAGAAGCACACTCCCGCGCCTGCGGCGGGAAGTGAACCGATGAACCAGACAAAGGTCACTGGGGAGGAAAAATCCACAGAAAGAGGAGCGGAACTAGCTGGAGCATCACAGTCGGATGCTACCACCAGCGTAACGGACGAGCAGGATAAAAATGTAAACCTGGCTCAAATGGAAGTTGAAAAGACAAAGGTCACCGAAGAGGAACTGTCTGTACTGGGATTGGATGACCTTTCACTGAATGATAAGACCGCAAGCGATGACCTTTGGGCAACTCCAATGGTGTCAGATGAATCGAATGAATCGTATTTCACGGACGACGAAGCAACGATGAATATGTCGTTCCAATCTGCCATGAGACAAGCTGACCGGGCCGAAGGGATGACACCTTTCAAGGAAATACCCGAGCACCTTATCGAAAGGACACAAACAGGAAAGGTCATTAACGTACGACCACCGTCACCGAATAGTCCTACGTCAACTCTGAAGAGACGCGTGAAGGAATTGGAAGAAGAGCTCGAAGCCAAGGACGGCCAGGAGATGAAGAAGAAACAGGAATATCAAAACCGGATAGGATCTCTGGATGCTCGCATTTATGAATTGGAGCAACAACAGGCTGACTTGGAAAGCACAGCGGACGGATGGAAGATCAAATACGAACGTCAAAAGGAACTCGCTGAGGAATACCTAAAGATGGTAGATGACAGAGAAATGGAAGGTCATCTTGCAGTCAGTGACCTTTACGAGAGTATGTCGGAAGAATCAGCGGAAAGGTCACGACACTTAGTAAAATTGAAGGACGAGTGCGACGCATTGAAACAAAAGGTCACCGAAGCGGAAGCTAAAAGAGACGAATATGGAAACAAACTTGCGGAAGCTACACAGCGACTGTTGACAAACACTAATGAGGTGTTTAAACTCAGAAATGAGTTGAAGCTGCGAGATGAGAGCATCGGAACTCTCCAGAAGGAATCACAGGACCATCAGAGAAGAGCCGACGATGCCGTCAAAGTGGCTAAGGGCCTGCGTGATCTTACAGCCACCGAAGGCGCACGGTTGAGCAATGGAATAAGACAGGTCATGGAAGAGAATAAGGTGCTGAAAGAAAACATCGGAAAGGTCACCGAAGAGAATACCGAGTTGAAAGGAGCCGCTAAAACAATTGCCGAACAGGGCATGAGGTGGAAACACGAGGCACACCTCTTGGACGTAAAGGTCACGGCGCTCGAACTGAAAGATAAGGAGTGGCAACAATCAGTCCACCAGAAGACACAAGAGATCATTAAACTCAACACGGAACTGATTGATATGACCCAAACAGTAATGACGAGAGAAGACGAGGTCACTCAGACAAAAAACCAGCTGAAGGCGGCAGCCGAGGAATATACGAAACTGGAAAGAGATGTGACCCAGTTGGTGGAACACATAAAAAAAGCGGAGAATGACACTGAAAAGGTCATCCAGGAGAAAACGTTCCAACTCCACCAGCACATGTTGAAGGTCAAGGAGGAGAATCAGAACTTGAAAACTGAGAAGGAAGAATTCCAGCTGAAAGTCAGACGCCTTGAAGAAGAGAATAAGGCCCTTAACATGTCGAACAAACACAAGGATGAACAGCTGTTGCAATATGGAGTCAGAATTGCAACAGTGGAGTCACCACCGCCCAGTTACAGTAAAGCACATGAAACGGGCACGGGCAAAAGTTTCCACTTTGAGATGCCGCTACGAACTGGTACCGGTAAAGGAAATGTTAAAAATGAAACGAACGGTGACAAGGGCAAAGACGACAAAGAACTACCATCAGGAGGTTATCCGCAAACGAGTCACGGTGATCCCTCCCAATTTCCCCCGCACATCGAAACGAACGTCTTCATCGATGAAGGGAGAAGAGACCGACCGCCCAGCCGGCAAGAGCGCCCACGGAAGTCCCGCTACGGAAAGGCGAAACGAAACCAAAATGACGACGAAAGTAGCGAAGAGGAGGATGACCCGACAGCAGAAACGACAGCCGCACAATTGACAAAAGCACTCAATTCGATGGCTCGGAAAACGACGTTAGTGACCTTTGATGGAAGTCGCGATGCAGTTAATGGCTGGACACAATTGGTCAGGGATACGCAGCGAACCTACCGACTTACTGATGATCAAATTTTAATCGAAATAGCTAGCGCGGTGAAGGGACCGGCAAAAATCTGGTTCGAGGGAGAGAGAGAAATCGCACTCCAGGAAGAGATCGAATATACGGTTACAGAATGGATGACCAAATTCAAGGATGAATATGGTGACCGTGACGAAGAAGTTCTTGGGTTACGGGAAGCCATGGCAAGGAAATTCGACCTGGGAAAAGAAACACTTGACCAGTTTTACCAGGCGATAATGAAATACAAAGCGAAGCGAATTATCACTGAAAAACAAGCAGTCGGTTTCCTGATCGAAGGATGCAGAATAGACAGTGACCTTTATAAGGCACTGCGAACGCAACAGTGCAGAACACCAACCGAGATCAAAGATTTCTTCCGACATTGGTCGGCGGGAGAGGAAAAATATAAAGCACCAAAAGGTCAACGCAACCAGGACTATGTCACAATTCGCACTGGACAAGTTGAAACGGTGCCACAACAAAGGGTCGCGGCAGCACCAGTCCAGCAGCCGGTTGAATACCGAAGGGAGGCTCCGATGCAAGAAGTCACCAAGGAAGTGACCTTTATCGACAGCCAGACGGGACAACCACTTACATATGCAATGGTAGCTGCGATACAGGCGGCGGCCCAAGTGAGGCCAGTACCCCAGAATGTGGCACCAGCGAACGCGGTGTTACCACAACAAGGAATGGGTAACGGAAACTTTGGTGGGAACGGATATGGAAATGGAAATTGGAATGGAGGTCAAGGGAACTTCCAGAATCAAGGTCAAGGTCAAGGGAACTTTCAGCCAAATAGAGGAAACCAGAATAACTTCCAGCAGAATCAGGGGTCACGAACGGAATTCAAATTTCAAATGATTGATGGATGGGTTGCAAATGGTGCGCAGATGTGCCAGTACTGTATGTACGGCAACCATCAAACACAGGGATGTAAGTTCGCAAATACGCCGCCAGAGCAGAATCCGAACCTGTTCGCCTTCAGAGAGTGGCAACGCCTTCGCGCCACGGGCGGCTGGCGTCAGGCGGTGGCAAACGGATATGACCTGATCGCTCAATGGTATCAGGCGAAAGCGAACTTTCAACAAGGAAACGGAAACTATGGAAATGGAAATGGAAATGGTGGCCAAGACGGTGGCAATCGTAGTGGTTACGGTCGCGGCGGCTTCAGAGGAAGAAACAGAGGCTTCGGTCGTGGAAACTGGAATGGTGGCAACCGAAACGGCGGAAATGGAGGTGGCCAAGGAAACTACCAACAGGGTGGTGGCCAATATAATAATGGCGGCGGCGGACAGAATCCTAACCCGGCAAATGATATCGGACAACAACAAGGAAATTTACAAGGAAATGTGCAAGGCGCGCAACAAGGTGGGGCGCCGGTTCAGGGAAACGAACAAGATCAGTAGGCGCCGGTGAGCCTACTGATCGACCCGACCCTAAACCACCGGATAAAAAGGGAAAGGAAAGGTCACCACTGCAGAATGGCACTGCAGTGAATGTGACCACTGCAACGGCTATAAGGATGCCGTCGGCGCAAAAAGAAAGTGGACCGGCTATATGGATGCCGCAACCACAGCAAACGCCTATATGGATGCCGCCACAGCAAATTGAAACGGCTATATGGATGTCGTCATTGCAAAAGGAAATTGAAACGGCTATAAGGATGCCGTCACAGCAGCAAAACGAACTGGTTATCGGGAAACCAGTACAAGCGGATAAAAGGTCACCGCAGAATGGTACTGCGAGTGGAAACGCGCAACGGGACCAAAGCTCACCGCAGAATGGTACTGCGAGTGGAAATTGTCGTGACGGTAGCGCGACACTGCGAACAGCGCAGCAAAATGAAAGGTCACCGTACTGCAGCGAAGAGGTGTTAGCGCAACGACGCGCACAACGAAACGCAAAGATTCAACAGGCGTTTCTGAATCAAAAGAAACCGCAGAACGACACTGCGCAAGAGGAAAACGAGCAACATGCGAAATTCCGAAAATACTTGGCAGAAAATGATAAAGTGAATGAGTCACGTTGCGATTGTTACGGAGGGATAAAGCCAAAGTTCTGGAATTGTCCAGAGGACGAAGATGAGAAGTTGATAAGACAAAAATGGATGGAGCAGAATATCACTGCTAACAGAAAAGATGAAAGGTCACCTTCCGTAGGAAAAGTCCAAGTGAAAGGTCAAGGAGCGAATGCGAACGCTAAAGGTCACGGTGAAAGCGCCGTGTTAAAAGGTCAAGAAACAGACTTGACACTGCGAACAGCGCAGCAGAAGAATAGCGAACCGGCACAGCAGAACTCCGATGACTCACTTGAAAAAAAAAATGGCATATGGCAAAAAGTAGCCTACAGACCGAATGGGAATCACGGGATGTGGATACCTGTGACGCAAAAAGCGAAACAGAAAGCGGGAATGTCTCAAGAAGATTACTGGGACATGCGAGAATTGCGAACGCAACATGAGAGAAAACGACTGGAAGAATTGGTTACCGGAAAAGAAGTTAAAAGGTCACCGAACCTTGCTCCAGTATTCAACGCAACTGAATACAAGAATGCACAAGCTGACCTAAATAACTCGCGAAATGCACCACCGAAAGACAAACCGTCGAATTATGGCGAAAAAGTTCCCATACAAAAGATGTCAAACGGCGGATTTGTTATAAAGCGCAATGAAAGGTCACAGGACTTAGCGCAAAATGAACAGAAAGGAGGGTCAAACGAGAATGCGCAAATGCAACAGAGTAGCGCAGCCGAAAGGTCACGGGACTTGTCACAGGCACTGCAAAAGGATGCCAATGACAAGTCACCAGCTCGAACTGATGGAATGTCCTCGCAAATTGATCCGCCGAAAACGAATAATGAAGTGTCAGCAAAAGTGATTGAATGGATGACCGAAAAGGGATATGATATGGTTACATATGAAAGGTCACCAAATGAGATGAAAGATAGCGAAGCAGATGAATTGAAGCGAGCTGACCAAATAACAAGTGAAGTCATTGAGAAGTTGCGAGATAAACGAAATGAAAACCGCAAAGAGGAACTGATCCACGAGGCGATAAATGAAGTGACTAAAGGTCACGTGGACAGCACAAAAGCAAATCCGCAAGTGCAGAACAATGAAAAGGTCACCAGCGGTAAAATGGCTGCAGAAAAGCAAACAGATAAGAAAGAGCCGCGCAAATTTTACGACGTTCGAACTGATGTGCCACACAGGATTGACAAGTTGAGGGAGATACTGAAAGGTCATAGCACTCCGGCGAAAGGACAAGTGCCTCCCGACATGGATCCGGGACCGGTATCTCTAATTCCTGTGAAATGCAAGATACACACATTGAAGATTCAAAACGGAAAATTGCCCAAAAGAATTGAAGCGTATACACATGAAGTGAAAGTGGGAGACATAAAGGTCAACGCAATGTTGGACACCGGTGCTGAGACGTCGCTGATCAGCAAACCGTTTTGTGAAAAGAATGGACTTCATATGCTCCCATTGCCACCAGACAGACTGGTGAAGATAAATGGAATTAGCGGAACGTCAGGATTCCTGGTGACGCACTACTGTGTAGCACCAGTGACCTTAAGGAAAAAGACTAGTGAACATTCCTTTTACGTCCGACCGAAATGCGATGATGTACAAGTGTTATTGGGATTTGACTTCTTGGAAAAGAAATTTGTACTGATGGACAATGAAGGGGAGGAAGAAAAAGAAGATGACCCCAAACCAATTGCCAAAGTCCAAGTCGGAAAGGTCACCGAACTTGTAAAACAGAAGGGAAATGTTCAGACCGATAATAAGGTGCTAATCCCAGTACCAGAGGCACCGGGAAAGGAGCAGAAAAAGATGGCACAAAAAGAATTGTCGACATTTGAACAGTTGAAATTGATCCAACAGGAGATTGGAAATACATTAAACCGGACACTGCTGACACAAAGGGGAAGAGAAAAGGTCATCCCAGTACCAGAGGCACCGGGAGTGACAAGAGCGCAGCAGAACGCGACAGAAGCGCAGCAGGAAAAAGTTATCCCAGTACCAGAGGCACTGGAAACGAAAAATGAAAATGGGAATATCAAAAAAGTTATCCCAGTACCAGAGGCACTGGGAACGAAAGATGAAAGGCCACCAGTTGAGAATTTGGCATCAGAGCCGGATCCGAAAAACGTCAGCAAGACCTTTTTCGAACCACGACCTGCTACCGAAAATGAAAATGAAGAAAAAGATTTGCAGAGAGTGCCAGAGCGCACCCCGAATCTTTTAGAACCTCGATCTGCTACCGGAAATGACGAAAGGTCACCAACACTTGAAGAGATAGCTGCCACACAGAAAGAAGCGACAGCTGCAGCGAAACAATCGCTTGTGCCTGGCATGGATTGGGCAAAGCCTATCCCAGTACCAGAGGCACTGGGAATAAAGACGGCCAAAGTCGGGAAGGATAAAAAGAGTGAAAGATTGCGGATATTGAAACGAATAGCCGAAGAAGAACAGATGTTCGCGAGCGAAATCCGCAACAAAGCGCTTGAACAGCTGAAAGGTCACCAACTGAACAATGAAACAGAGATTATTGAAATATCCTCCGACGAAGCGAGTATAACAGAAATCGAATGTGAGCAGAAAGCCACAATACAGGAGAAGGAGATCACCAAACCGCAAACGAATCGGAGGATATTAACCCCAGAAGAACGAATGGGGAGCTGCGGACACGGTTACTACGAGGATCCGTGTAGAGTGCAACCACAATGGGAATGCACTGAATGCTGCCAAGACGCCTCCCAAGATGACCTTTCAGAATGGCCGAGATGTAACGCCACACTGGCAGATCTTAAAGGTCATGTCCAAAAAGAAGTGAAAAGCATCATGCGGACAAACGAAATGTGGAAGCCACACATTGAGCGGTATCACTGGAACAGATATCGGACTTGGTTGTCATGTGTGAAAAACTTCATTACGGGGAGAGGAAAATGGCTGAACCATTGGCAGCAACGTGTGGATAACGGAATCCAAGATCCTCTTGACCCGGTATCAACTGAGCGGAAACTTGAAAGAGAGATCGACTCAATGAACGAGGAAGTACACCTATGGGAAGAAGCGAGAATAGAATTGTTCTGGGACTTCCGCATAAACCATATGTATAAAGGTCAAGGGAGAACAATTATATTTCCAACGGGACTTGGTACACCGGTGTACGAATCGGTGGTGGTATTCTGTAAAGCACTCAAAGATGATAACTGGGAGATATTCGACAAATACTGGAGGAAATTCGAAGCGGAGATTCCTATATTCGATACAAAGGAAATGCGAGAATTGCAAGTAACCCGGAAAAGAAGGTTACCGGGGTTAATGGAAAAGAAAAAGGTGACCTTTGCACCAGATCCAGATGGAGTGGAATACCCTGAACGAGGCGGTGACACGTGGTGCATGTACGAAACGATTCCGAGTGATGACTGGGTCACTGAAGAGCTGATGGCAAATTGCGTTTTTGTTGGTCCTAAACGACCTAAAGGTTATGAAACGGTCCAACAGGATGAAGTGGATAAGGTGACTGTAAAAGAAGCAGGGAAGGAGGAAACGACCAAAGAAATAGCTGAAGGAGGATCGAACGAAACAGAAGAAAGTCCAAAATCGGCCTTCGACATTGCACAGATGTTAACGGACAGAGGAGAAATGTGGAAAAAGTTCAAAGAGGAAGTTGAAAGGATATCAAAGGAACAGCAAAACCCAGTAACTGAGGCAAAAAACGGGGAAAGGTCACTCGATAACGGTGAGGAAGGTCCGCCGGTCGAGTTGACCGAAAAGCCATTAATGAGTCTCGGAGAAATGGATGAACCGGAAAAGTTAAAATCAGAAGAAGAAAGGTCAAACTCCGATCAATCAGAAAGGTCATTAACAAGAATTCGGGTAGCAAGGAGCCACCCGAGAATCGCCGCACGAAATGGGCGCAAAGCAAAGGAAGCGGACAAACCTCTGCCCAAAAATTCGAAAGCAAAAAAACTTAGTGATTCGCGAGAAAACGAAAGTGACCTTTCATCAGATGATGAAGGAGTTGATGAGCGTCCACTTGAAAAGACTGACAAAGGTCAAGCCGCTGCACAAGAATACGAGAGCAGCGATTCGGACTCGGAATGGACGAGTTCAAGCGATAACTCAACGACTTCAGAAGATTCAGGTGTAAGTGACCTTTCAGAACAAGAGGACTTAATGGACCTGGATGAAGATGATGAAGTGGACGAAGAAAAAGAAAAGGAAATTAAAGTCAGAAGATTGAAAGTGGAAAAGGCTAGAATGTCGAAAGATGTGATTAAAGTCTACAGTGACCAAAGAATTAAACTGAAACCGTCACACTGCACCCGGGTAAAGGTCAAGATGGGAAAATATGCGCCGGCTCAGAACAAGTTGATGTTTACACCGGTCCCACAAGTGG